CGTATAATAGTGAGGAACAGAGTGAAAGAAAGAGAGAGAGACAAAAAGAGTAACGTATATATGTGGTACAGCGATGATGGCATGGGTTGGGGGAGGGAGGAAACTACGTTGTAGTAAGCCGAGTTGTATAGACAGGTGTAGAAATTATGTTCTCGTGCTTAAGAGTTTGCGACACTTTGCTTTGCGCTTGAATAATCCAACAAAAAGGTTTTTTTCTTAAAAGAATAGAAGTCACTTTCCATAGCCTTTTCGATGCTGAATGCGAGTTCCCAATTTCCGGAATCAACTTTCTCTACATTATAATTTCGAGAAATTTCGTTTAAGTCGCTAAATACGAGTAAAAATTGATTAATTCAAAATACCTGCAAAAATCTATACATTTTACTTTTTTAGTTTATATTAATCTTTATTTTAATTTATATCTATTTAATTTATATTTATTCTTTGTCGAAAATTAAGGAAAGTATTTCAAACATATACAGATACTCCCTAATTATATTCTTTTAAAGAGAGAGAGAGAGAGAGAGACAGAAATTAGGTTTTTATTTTCTTTCTCAAATTTTGTTTACCTCATTTTTCCAACATTTATTAGTTTTATTTTGCTTGTTTTTTTGATTCTAAGAATAAAATGCAACTTCTCGTAATTTGAAACCTATATCATTTAACATCGTGCTGTGCATGATAATGTATTTTAATTTTTTTTTCTTTTTTTGCAAACTGTTGATTTTATAAAATAAGATAAAAGAAATTAAAAAGTTTCAAAAAGAATCAAGCTTATTAACGCATATTTTTAAATGATCATATTCCGATACGTTACAAAATTCTACTAAAAAATTGAATAGAAGTTGCTAGTTATAGCTTCGTATAATGATACGGGGGAATTAAAAAATATTAAAAAGTATCCTTTTTATTAATAGAAACTGCACCAAATTTTATTTATTTTTTTAAATTTATTCTAAAAATTTGAGGAAAATAAAATTTTCATCTTTTCTTTGAAGGAGTGTAACTCCTGTTTATATGAAAGACTCTTTAATTTTTGACAAAGAATCATCTCCTAAAATTTTTCGCATTTATTTAGAATCACAATGTATGTACTTAATTTTAAATTGAACTGTTTAATTTTTTATCTATCTTAATTGTTTTTATCAAATTTATTCAGCGATCTAAAAAGTCTTCTGAATAAATACGATTGAATATTGTTTATTAGGATCTATATTCGCAACATTTCCCCATTATAGATTTCACATACTTAATCATAATAAACCATCAATATAATACATTTTTCAAAGGCTATTAAATATACTTAATTCTCTAATTATTATATATGAATATGATGTTAGATCAATAATTTGTAATAATTTAAAATCTCAGAGGATATTTTCACTGTAAAAAAATAGTACCAAATATAACAATATTGATATGAGTCTGGACAACTGCCAGTTTTGGCAAAATTCTAAGATGGTGTATATTTTTTTCTCTTTTGCAGAGTTTTGCCAAAACTAGCAGTTGATCAAACTCTGATTATAGGGATTCTAATATACTGTGATACATAGTGGACCCTTTTCAGTAAAAAGACACCATAGCACAATTGAAAAGAAAAGGGACTCAACTAAAGAGCTATGTAGGGTTGTGTTATATTGTATAGATGCAGAAAAGCACTTGCACACATAGTGTAACTTTGTGACACCTGTGTTGCTTGCTAAAAAGCATCCAATGTCACCTACATACGTTTCTGGGAAACACTATAAGCTTGTTTTCTATTCCTGCACCAGTGTGCACAGTTCAGCCAGTGCGGGAATGGAAAACTAGCCTTATATTTAAAGAAAGAAGAAGAGAATTTATCCTCCATCATCACGTGAATGCAGGAGTTATTAATGCATGTACCTGATTGCATGTTGATCGAGGCGCGAGAGAGGCGTTTACGTGCTTCGAATGTATCATGAGGTTGACACTCCTCGAGAGAAGTTGGCACTCGAGAAAGTTGATATCACGATTCCATTGAGGATGCGAGACGGGGATCGCGCAATGTGCGAACTCCGCGATTTAAAATCGTGGTTGCGTTTGTCGTAATACGTATTGTTGTAAATTTTGTCACGGAGATCGCTCGCGAGCGGGATCTCTTTCGCCATCGCCGCATGCTCGCGATGCTCGCGCGACGTTTGCAAGGCAAACGAGTGACGCGCGCTTCATATTTTAGCGTATGAGTCATCGCGGTTTTACTTATCTGCGCGAGGTTACCTGCAATGATTACGCGGCGCTATCGCAGCGCGATCGTGCAATTAGACCTTAATAGAGAGGTGGCCTAGAATCGCAATCGATTCCATCATTTTCTTATCCAAGAAGCGCGTTAATCTATTCCCTCAGATCTTTCTATCTTATACAGTATATATATGTCTCGTAAACTTTTTGTAGCTTCTCTTATAGCTTCTGTATATCTTTTTTTATAGCTTTAGTTGATTTTCTGTACATCTCTTATAGCTTCTCTGGTAGTTTCTTTTGTAGTTATTTGTGTAGCTTCTCTTATAGCTTCTGTACATCTTTTATAGCTTCAGTTGATTTTCTGTACATCTCTTATAGCTTCTTTTATAGCTGCTCTGGTAGCTTTTTTCATAGCTTCTCTTGTAGCTATTCGTATAGCTTCTCTTGTAGCTTCTGTACATCTTTTATAGTTTCAATTGATTTTCTGTACATCTTTTATAGCTTTTTTTTATAATTTCTCTGGTAGCTTCTCTCACAGCTTCTCTTGCAGCTATTCGTGTAGCTTCTTTTATAGCTTTTTTTGTAGCTTCTCTTGTAGCTGCTTTTGCAGCTTGTAGCTTCTGTACACCTTTCATAGCTTCAATATATTTCCTGTGCATCTCTTATAGCTTCTCTTATAACTTTTTTGTAACTTTTCTTGTAGCTTCTTGTGTAGCTTCTCTTATAGCTTCTTTTGCAGCTTTTCTTATAGTTTTTTTATAGTTTTTTTTTATTACGCATACAACTTTTAGGATATTAATATTAAAGTTTTCAGCTTGTAATTTTACTCCTATGTTCATGCACATTTATTATATTTATCTTGGCCCTCCCTTGTATGTAATCTTGGATAAGCAAAATTCAATCGCAGAAAGATAGCGTTCCGAGTTGAATATGTGAGTTGAATACGAAACTACGATAGTATACTAGAATAAGTATACTAGGATTTTTTACTTTTAATTTTATAATTGTATATATACACTGAGCAAGAATATATATATATATATATATATATATATATATATATATATATATAATATATTATTTAAAAATAAATTAAAAAAAAGAAATCTTATTTAATTTAATTTAATTTTGGTTGTAATGAGTAGGAATAAAATTATATATTCCAACTTGTATATTACATAATTTTAGTTTTATTTACTCTAAATTATAATAATTGTAAACTATTAAATTTTACCCAGGCTGTGTATTTAATTTAAATTAATCAAATTACATATAAATTATATAATTTTTATACAATATATACAACATTATTTTTTACATTATGTATAATATTTTAATACTTATATATTAATATATTTGAATGTATTAACATATGTATATATATGTATATATATATATATATATATATATATATATATTAAAATATAATTAATGTTTAAATATTTTTAATATACATATAAAAAAAGATAAAAATAACATCAAAGGGTTAAAATGCAGCGAACCGTTAAAACAGAAATGCGTTAACGCGCTTTTAAGGTTTTAAGATCGAGGTATAAGACGTGTGTTGACAAGAGAGAAGGGGTGGGGAGAGATATGACAGGAATGCTAGGCACGTGACTGCCTTCTCTCGAAAATCGTCTGGAAACTCCGGAGGCTTTAATTGAGATAGATTTTGTTTATTGTTAATTAAGAGGTTTTAAATAAATTACTTGATAAGCGTCTTAATCTCTGCCAATTAATATATTAAATAAAGTCTATATTCTATCGTAACTAATTAATTAAAAGTTGTTAATTAAAGTTAAACGAATTTTTTTTAAGTGCAATTTAACTGAGATAAACAAGAATCAATTTAGATAATGAAATTTAGTCAAGTAATCTTAATTTCGACTAGTTAACGAACAGTGAAATTCCAAGAAATTACGCGAAACTGAAAGTGTTAATACTGTTTCCATCTTTTTTTTCGAACACTGTATAGTTCGCAGTATTCAATGGAGTCGTTTCTGATGCAGCACATGTACCGGACATTCGTGCTGCATAGCGAGATTCATAACAGACAACGTAATACTTGGGATAGCCAGGCGCACCGAACAGACGCCTCGTACTTTATTTCTGCTGAGATAATTTATCTCGACGAGGTATCACAACACAGACGATGGCTGGCCATTAGGGACGGCTTTAGGAAATTCTAAAAGAGGCGAGACGTAAAATCCAGTAGCAAGAAATTCGCGATTTTTTAAAATTTTGATTAAATTCCCTAGACATTTTTCAAAAATTTATTTATTTATTTTTTTAGGCAAAACTTTATAGTTGTTTGATTAGGGACGGCTTTAAAAAATTCTAAAAGAAGCGAGACGTAAAATCCAGTAGCAAGAAATTCGCGTTTTTCTCCCTCGAAAAGTTTGATTAAATTTCTTAGGTCCTAGGCTTTTTTTATTATTATTATTATTATTTTTTTTTTTTTAACAAAACTTCATAGTTGTTTGATTAGGGAAGGCTTTAGGAAACTCTAAAAGAGACGAAAAACAAAATCAGCAAATAGCTCGTGCGTTTTTCGAAAAGTTTAATTAAATTCCCTAGGCATCTTTCAAAGATTTATTTGTTAAGCATCTATAATGGTTTATTTAATTAATTTAATACGATTGAAACCTTTTGATTGAAGGTATCTTTGTTTATCCTTTTTATTTAATTCTAAAAAAAATTTTACGGTTTATGTCTAAAAAAAATCACACACATACATTATAGCTTCTGCAACTATATCGGTTACTTGCAATTGTATATAACTCATATATCATGTTTTTCAGGATGGCGACAGAATTGGCGAACAAGAAGGCAGAGCGAGAGGCTCTCAGGGGGGTCATACAACAATGGAATGCTAATCGTTTGGACCTGTTCGAGCTTTCGGAGCCTAATGAGGTGAGTATCGCAACGGCAGCTCTGCGAATATCTAAATTTTTAATTCAACAATATTATAATTTGCGCGGCTTATTTCACCTATAATTTATTATCTTTTTTCGAATTTTTTAGGATTTGGAGTTTCATGGCGTAATGAGATTCTACTTCCAAGATAGCGGTCAGAAGGTCGCTACCAAATGCATCAGGGTTGCCTCGGACGCAACCAGTCAGGCGGTGATAGAAACGCTCATAGAAAAGTTTCGTCCCGACATGAGAATGTTATCCGTCCCGGAATATGCTCTTTACGAGATTCACGAGAATGGAGGTGATTATTTAATTTTTATTATTTAATATTTAATTTTGTATTATTTTTAATTTTTTATTTAAATTATGTAGTATTAACATGTTTATAAGCGCTTGTTATAATGAAGCTTTCCTCATTTACAGAAGAACGTAAGCTTGGGTTGGAAGAGAAGCCGTTGCTGGTTCAACTAAATTGGCACATAGATGATCGCGAGGGACGCTTCTTGTTGAAGAGAATTGACGACAAGACCAATGCCCAGGGCGTCGGTTTTTCTTCAGCCGAGGGTTCTAGCTTTCGAAGAAAGTTGAGCAAGCGGGAGAAAAAGCAGATCAAGAAGCAGGAGAAGCTCAGTCGACTAAAGAGCTTGGAGCAAGACGAGAACGCCGCGCCTGGCGATCAGAACGGCGTCGCCGAAAAGCTCTATACGGGTTAGCAAACATTATTTTTAGACCGTTTGTATACGATCATTAAAATATTGAAGAAACGAAATGAAATTCTTCGGTGAATGATCGATTGAAAGAGATTTACTCTCCAAAGTTTCTTAATTGTAACATTTTTCGATTATTGTCTCTCATTGTAATATTTTGATACCCTCTCATCTTGTCTCTTTTAAGATAAATGCAAACTCTAATAATAGTTTAATACGCCAGACACACGTAATTATTTTAATTCAGTCATTTCGATGATTGTTTAGTAATAAGCGCGATGAATATAGATATTTCCTTATTGCAATAAATATTAGATACTTACGATAATGTTTTATCGCTTGCAGAACTACCCGAGACCAGTTTCACCAGGAGCATTTCGAATCCGGAAGCGGTGATGAGACGTCGTCGCCAGCAGAAGCTTGAGAGGAAGCTGCAGCAATTTCGCAGCAAAGACGGCGGACCCGACACTGGTGGTACATTGAAAATTTATGGCGAGGCGTTGTGTAAGGACGTGCCATACAAAACGTTGCTGTTGAGCGTGCGAGACTCCGCCGCTCAAGTTGTGCGGGAAATGTTGGCTAAATACGGTCTAGAAAAAGTGGATCCGCAGTTGTATTGCCTTGTGCAGGTCAGCATTTATACATGAAATTGTCACTTATTTGTGAATTTTATTTTAAATATATATGTATGTAATGATTGATTTAATAATTGCACCGTAAGATAGGAAAAAAAGATAAAAGTAAGTCCGATGAAAACAGAAACAAGAATAGAGATTATGATAATAAAATAGATTGTGATAATATCAGCAATTTGTAACAGAAATATGAAGTTAAGCCTCTTAACTCTTCATTAACCATGTTGGAATTGTGACGTCAGATTTTTTTAAGATAAAAATTATTATTAGATAAGATTAGGATGTAGATAAAAAGATATACTGAAGGCTTAATAGTAAAAATTTATTAAGTAATATTCATATACATGAAATTAATTAAAATCAAGTAATAGATAATAGAATAAAACAATAGAAATAATAGAATAATAGAAACAATAGAAATAATAAAAATAATAGAATAAATAACAATAATAGATGTTAGCAAAATTATTCTTGCAATACGAAAAGGAAATTGATTGGAAAAGATTAGAAAGTTTTTTTAATATGCTATAAATAAATACTGTAATTAGTATTTACATTAAATATTTTAATATATGTATATTCTCGGTATATTAAAATATGATTAATTTGCTAGTTTTTGGAAATTATATGAGATAAATATAACATTAACTTATTATATAATATTAAGTATAAACATTAGATGTTTTTTGTTAAAAATTATATTGTATAAATAATGATTTTATTTATGATACAGGTTAATAGTGAAAATGTGAATGGCAATGCGCATCAGGAGTATATATTGGACGACGACGAATGCCCTCTGGCGATTTTAATGAACCATCCTTCTACACGAGGTAAGAATTTACAATTTTTATCTTTTTTATATTTATAACTTTTATGTTTAATGCTTTAGACTTATAATTGCATAATTATGATTCTGATTTTGTTTGTATATTATAATTTTAATATATAATATACAATAGAATGTAATAAAAGAAAAGCAGATGCAACTATGAGCTTTAAAGTATTTAATCTAAATTTATATTTAACTCCTCTCTTTCGAGGCTATATAAGGAAATTTATCTTTATATATTATGAAAAATAGTTCATTTTTTGTCTATCAATTTTTATCGAGAATTTAATATAGTCCGAGTTGATATTGTGTAAGCGATAATTCTATATAAAGCATGCCAAGAATAATAATATGAAAATGTCTGCTTATCTTTTTATATTTATGAGTTATTTTTGGAGGAATTAATTTTAATTCTTCAGCACATTATATATTATATAAAGTGACAAAGAAAGATATGAATTTTAATTTTGGATATTATATGACAAATAATTAATTTATTTGTCAATTATATAATATGAAGTAAGTAATTTTAAGTAGGCTATTTAAACAGAATAGCTCTAATTTCAATTTGAACAAATTGTTATTAAAAAACTATTAATCTTGCAAATTAAATAAACAATTTTGTACATAAAATGCAAATATAAATTTTTAAACATACCTGTTATATGTAAGGGGAATAAATTATAATTCCCCATAGAAAAAATTCAAAAAATTATACGAAAATAATAAAAATTAAATAATAAATCAAATATAAACTATAAAAATAATCTAATTTTTTTAAAATTTAACGTGATGGAGATGATATATCTACAATGAAAGAATACAAGAAGAAAAATAATAGAAGAAAGAATCTACCAAAAAAAAGAAACAGTAGAATAAAATAGAAGGATAAATTCGTCGGAAAAGATTGACGTCAAAATTTACTAGAAAGGAATGAAAGTTTAAGGAGATAGAGAAAGAAAGAGGGGGAGGGAGAGAGAGAGAAGACTAAGACTAAAAAATCTACGTCGAAGAAGAAATTAAATTTATGCGAAGGACAGTTAAAAGAAACAACGCAAGAAAATTTTCAGATACTGTAAAGATTCAGAAACCCTTCTCATCAAAAGCATCTTGTAAACCTCTAAGGGACACCATAAACATAAATATATATTAATGTATTTTATATATATATATATATATATATATATATATATATATATATATATACATTTATATATACATATATATTATGTAAATATATATTATATTATACATATATATATACATATAATAATATATATTATATAATAATGTGATTATAGGCCAAAAGGTTGAAGCTGAAAAATGCAATGAATGGATTAGAAGAGAGAGGAGGAAGAGGGGGGATGCAAGGGTAGAGTAAAGATTCGGGAACGCTCAAAAGCGCCCTTGTAAACCTTTAGGGGACGCAATAAACAGTTAATAAAATAACAATACGATCATAGACCGGAAAGTTGATCTCAGTTGGGAAATTCGACGAAAGGAAAAGAAAATAGAGGGGGTGGGGAAGGGGGAAGGGTCGAAGGGAGATGCAAGGGTAGTGCAAAGAGAACAGTCGATGCCACCATCGCCTCAGTTGGCTTATTGTCGTCGGCACTGGTGGTGGCAGTGCGCGGGCGCCGTCGTCGCCGCCTCGTCGTCCTCTTTGCCCTCATTTCAACGTCATCGTTCGTGACGAAATAATTGCCCGCGATCTCGATAAATGTCAGTGGTGATTCTGAGTCGAAAAAAAAAATTGCACGAACGTTCTCATTCACGAAAAAAAAAGTTACAATTGTTCCTCATGTATGAAGTATGTAACAGTTCGGTCCGGCGTTCATCTACCTTCTGGACATATTTAATTTATATACATTTTTTGCGTGACATTTTTTTATTTAAAGAAAGATGTTTGTACGACGAATTCGAGGTCAACGTTTAATCGTCGGGTGCTGCGTCTCGCGTCCGTTCGAAAAAACCCGACGAAAGTGTATTCACCCACGCATTTGGTGATCCATTGTGGTCTCGACAAGTTTATATATATATATATATATATATATATATATATATATATGTGTGTATATATATATATATATATATATATATATTCTATCCTTTGCAACAACTTGCATAAATACGGCGCAGAGTATTAATAGCCAACGACGAACTCGTCGAAGCGCGGCAAGGAAAATTTACGGCGCTGATAAAACTGGATCCACCCACTCGCGCGGCCTGTAATTGCCTATAATCATATAAGAAGAAGAAGAAGTAAACAGCCGTCGCACAATTACACGCATTATGATGCGAGACGTCCGAGGCGTGGCGTCATTCATTGAATCCGATTAGAATTAGTCAACGTATGAAAGATATATACAACAGTGAAAGCGAATCCACCACCCACGCACGATTTGTTAATTCATAAGGAAAGTGTAAAGAATTGTTGCAATTGGAGGCGCAGATACGATCTGAAGTGTCGTCGTATATTAGCAAAACTGATTCATTTCTTACATCGACATATCAAAAGGAATTGATGAAGGAAGATGATGGATTCATCTATCTATGTATGATGATTTCGTGATTTTCTGCAAGTGCGAAGGACCAAATGACACAAAAACGATTTACTAATCTTATCTAATTGCACCATTGGCTCGTAGTTTAACGTAATCGAGCTTGGTCGATATAAGAAGAAGGAAAGGAGAATCTTATAACAGCAGAAGTATGATGTTGTCTCTCATAATTCTCCTGTAAAGGGTAAAACGATTCTATTGATTACATGCATAAGTTACAATATAACAGACACACAGTATAAAAGATTGCTGTGTGATGACCTATTAGTATTGAAATATAAAAATAGAAAATTATATATGTGAAAGATAAGTGTGTAGCTCTCTTTTTTTTAATCTCCAATCAAATTCGACTGCGAGTGACAAAGTCGATCTTAATCAGAAACGAGACCAATTCAGCATTATTGATTATTATTGTATCTCTTGAAGAGATTTTGAGGTGTGTGTGAAGTTGGCGTATCATTTTGCAGAAACTCATTATATTTTGAGAGCTCTGACTTCCTTTTTAATAGTTCTAGAGTTCCTGATAGGTAAAACACATAGTTCTGCTCGTTAAAGCGAAAAAATTGCTTAGTGCAAAGTGAGAAGCAAACTTCACGCAGCGTCTCACTTTGTCCTACGACATTTTCCGTATCAGAAATGATCAGAAATGAAAAGATCTATAGTTCTACATGAGTTCTAAGAAGAGTTCTACCTTCTAAAAGCAAAAAATATTAATTATACCAAAATTAAGATAAACGGATACCTGTATCTATAGATGTCGAAGGGAGAAGCTAGTCAATTTTTAACAGTTCTGCTTATTATAAAGCAGTTCTGGTATAATTCTGGGCATGTGCATTAAATTTTCAAATAGTTCTGATAATTAAAACACTTAAAAATTATTTTAATTAATTATTTCACCCGAAAAATCGTCTATTTTCGACTCTAAAGGTGAGATGCCAGTTGATTTTCGAGAGTTCTGTTTTTTTCTAAAACAGTTCTTGTATAGTGTTTGACATGTGTATTGAGTTTCCAAAGAGTTCTGATAATTAAAACACAAATTATTTTAATTAATTATTTCACCCGAAAAACGCCTATTTTCGACTCTAAAGGTGAGACGCCAGTCGATTTTCGAGAGTTCTGTTTTTTCTAAAACAGTTCTCGATAGTTCAGAATACTATACCAGAACTGTTTTAGAAAAAACAGAACTGTTAAAAATTGACTGGCGTCTCCCTTCGACATCTATAGATACAGGTATCCGATTATCTTAATTTTGGTTTAATTAATATTTTTTGCTTTTAGAAGGTAGAACTCTTCTTAGAACTCATGTAGAACTATAGATCTTTTCATTTCTGATCATTTCTGATACGGAAAATGTCGTAGGACAAAGTGAGACGCTGCGTGAAGTTTGCGTCTTACTTTGCATTAAGCAATTTTTTCGCTTTAACGAGCAGAACTACATGTTTTACCTGTCAGGAACTCTAGAACTATTAAAAAGGAAGTCAGAGCTCTCAAAATATAATAAGTTTCCGCAAAATGATATGCCAACTTCACACACACGATTTTGAGGCAACATTTTCATGGTGACCATTAATCACTACTGATGAACGTTGCTGATTATCCTTGTGATTTATTATGCGGACCACATTAGTGCAATCTGTATTCCAAGTATACCTTTATAAATGTCACATATTTATATCTATCAAAAAATAACGAAGAGGCTGATTCTCAAGGACATCGTCGACTGTGTGATCGATGACGTACTTATTGACTTGTCGTCGCAGACTACTACTGGGGAATTTCTTCATTTCCAATCGTCAATATGACTTTCTTTGATAAATCGAGTGTCTCGTAAATACATTGCAATATTTGCGGGAAACAGCAGAATTGTGTAAAGTGTCGTTCGTTATATCTCCCAGGCGAAATCTTGATGCGATCACTAGCGCGTATCGGCCTTGTATATTGCTGCGATGTGTTTATGCGACTATTAGCGTATCTTCCTGAAGGGTATCGTCATCAATATTACGTCCAAAGAAAGTCCACATCGATACTTGTTGACAACGATTAGCTAAATAAGTTGATTAACTTTGTATCTTGTGTTACTGTTAAAAATGGGATGAAAAATAAATGAAGAGAGCGCGAGGAAAAGAGAGGGAATAAGTGTTCTTATTTTTATATTCAAGTGTCTGGAAGATATAAATCAAACGTCATCGAACTTCTCGATGAAGATAGAACGAAGGGTCTAAACTTGAGGGTCTGATCGCGATTTCAAGTTCGTCAGCAACTGTTGGTGGCAATTGACGCTAAAGAGATTTGATTATATACCTCAACACCTCCATTGACTTTGCAACTAGTTGATAAGATTCGCTTAACCAGTTTACAAGAGGAAGTTTTCCCAGTTTCGCAAGGAACAACGAAGGAAAGGGACAACGAAAGGGACCAATATTTCAGCAGCAGCAACAGC